GCCTGCGCCGCCAGTTCCGGGTGAGGGACCCCCCCCAAAATACCCCCTCGGGGATGGGGGGGAGCTGGGACCCCCCAAAAAACCCACCTGGCACCCCCCCAACCACCCACTGAGGGGGGGCCTCAAGACCCCTCGAAAGCCCAACGCTGGGTTCTTGCCCAAGCCTGGGAATGCTCTGAGACCCCAAAATACCCCCCCGGGACCTCCAAAATGCACGCGGGGGGTGGGTGACGGGGGGAGCTGGGACCCCCAAAAAACCCACCCGGCACCTCCAACCATCCACGGGGGGGGAAGGGGGCTCGGGGCCCCCCAAAAGCCCAACACTGGGTTCTCACCCAAGCCTGGGACCCCAAAATCCCCCCCCAGGTGGGGCTCGGAGGGGCTCTGGGACCCCCACCCACCCAGTGCGGGGGTCTCTGGCCCCCCCCCCTCACCCGCGGGGGGTTTCCCCTCCCCCAGGAGGAGAAGCGGACGCTGCGGGAGGAGGAGGAGGAGGCAGCGGCTCTTCGGGCTCGGGCGGGGCTGAGCATCCCCCTGCTGCGGGAGGAGGAGGAGGATCGGCGCCTCGCCGCCCTGCTCACCCTGCGCGCCCCCGACTGTGCGTGGGGGGGTCCGGGGGGGGCGTTTTTGGGGGGCTCAGGGGGGTCTGGCCCTCCCCGGTGACCCCCCCCCCCTTGTGCCCCCACAGCCTACGAGGAGAAGCAGCGGCTGAAACGCTCCGAGATCTCCCACCGGCCCTGGTTCAGCCCCGGGACCCCCCAAAAAACTCGGGGGCCCCTCGGGGGGGGGATTCGAGCGCCCAAGGGACCCCCCGGCCCCCCCACCCCGACCCCCGCCGGGCTCGGCATCGTGCGCAGGAGGGAGAGTGGGGGGGTGGAGGGACCCCCCCCGGGGAACGCCGGCGCTGGGGGGGACCCCCCTGCAGCTCCCCAGGGTGGGGGGGACCCCCCTGCAGCCCCCCAGGGCGAGGGGGACCCCCCTACAGCCCCCCAGGATGGAGGAGACCCCCTTGCCCCGCTCCCGGGCCCCCCCAGGGCCGCGCCCCCCCCGTCCCTCGTCGCCGACTACTCGGACTCCGGCTCCGACAGTGCCTGAGCTGCTGCTTGGGGGGCTGGACCCCCCCCGGGGATGGTCTGGGGGGGCCACCCAGACCCCTCCCCAGCCCCACAGACCCCCCACCCCCTAATTTATACACACCCCCCCAGCACCCCAAAATTAAACGGTGTTGGTGGCACCGGTGTCCTGTTGTGTGTGTCCCACCCCTTGCTGGGAGACCCCCCCC